GAATAATCGATTAATTGAAAAAATAATCGTTAGATTAATCGATTAGAAAATAATCATTTGGTACAGCACTAAAGCTGCTGCTTTGTCAGACAAATTTAATTTAATTTGGAAGCCTTATCAACACAGACTGGCTTCATTCACTTCCTCCGCTGCCGTATGCTAAAATAACTAGCAGACACTAAGCAGAACATCGACGTTGTTCAAAACTCCGCCTTCTGTTTACTGATTGGCCCAGGTGAAATAAACTACAAGAGACACTGCGCAGTAAATTGACGTTCTGTTCTCTGATTGGCCCGGCTAAAAATCTGCCAGCGAAATCATTGCCAATGGGAGAAGTCCCAGACGGAGGAGTGAAGGGAAACTAGAATTGAGAGGAGCTGTGTAGGAAGGCAAGGGCCAGGCTAGAATTAATGGTGTTATTTTTTACATTATGTTACTGTACTTTCTTCGTTAAACTCTATAAATCAGTGTTTATGTAAAATAAGCCATATCTAGGATTTAATACAAATACATCAATAATTATTTGATAATCACRTCACGGCCCTCAGAATCCTAACTGAATCAAATGTGCAGGATTCTCACCTCCCATAGAAGTCAGAATCAGTTTGAGGGGGGAAAATGTTGATTTTTTTTTTTTTTTTTGCAGTTTTAACAACTGTTCAATGAACATTTATCTTAATAAAAGACCTGTTGAGATTCAGTATCTTAATTGAATGTGCTTCTTTACAACACTAAGAAATTATCTGATTATTTGCTTACAGTATAAAATTCATTCTGTGTTAAAGCAAACATAAATTTGAAAAATGAGACAGATTTGAAAGTTTATAGTTTTCCCCAGTAAAAAAAAGACGCATGATGAGCAAATTAACCATCTAAAAATAACTTTAAAAAATATTAGATTATAGTCTGAAYCTCGTCAAATTAAGTGAAATAATCTGTTGGTACATTACTTGGTAATGCTGCGTTCACAGCAAACGTGTTTTAAACGTCAGGGGCATCAAGTTTATATGCTAAATCTATGGTGGACATGTGTCAAGGTGCATCTGGAAATGTTACGTCATGTGTAGCGCGGCGCATTTGGAGGCTCGACACGGAGCGTCAACCAATCAGAGAGACTCCTCTGTGTGACGTAGTGACACATTATCTGACGGGACGGTTTCCTAAATGATGTCAACTAACCTGAGACAGATGTACAGGAGCTCTTCAGCTGAAATCGAGTGCCTATAGTCGGTGTCRTGGCAGGAGATGCGGGCACKGATGCAAGTCAGCAGCTCATCAAACTGGRCTTGGGACAAAAACAGKGCTGAAAGTCAGCCTCGTCGGCTTACAGCTCCTGRAGTGAAACTCACCAAACTCAGAACGTCTCTGAATTATCTGGTGAATTAATTATGAATTAATTATCTGGTGAGCACGACRTTCTCTTGCTCTCAGTAAATAAAACAAAGCCACTTTATTTCATCTGCCATTAAACAGAGACTGGCAGAGGAGGCTCTCGACATGCGTCAAGCTATTTTGAAGATTGTCTGACCTCAAAGTGCAAAAGCGTTGCAAACTGGAAGCGTTGGACGTACTTTTGATGCCCAAATTGTGTTTGGTGTGAACGCAGCATAAGACTTCTTAAAGTAAAAAAAAAAATAAGTGCAGGCTAAAAAGATTAATAATCCAACACAATCTGCTTTTGCTTAGTCTCAAAACGAAATCAAAAATACTTTTTGGCTGGATATAAGATTATAAGTTTGTTGTTTTTGCTGTGCAGTCTTAGTGTTACAGTTTATTCACAGAAACATCATATGTTTAGCTTAAGCTTTARCTGTAAAATCTAAAATTCATCTCCATCAACTGCTGAGTGACAGGAGGGAAAAAAAAGAGTCGATTCTCTCCCATCAGCTCTTCACCAGCTGTCCTTTAGATTTAAGGCGAGAAAACAAAACTTCTTGCTGTAATCAAGTCTGGAGGAGATGAAAGCACGACTGACCTTCTTTGGATCTGATAATAAGAGAAAAGACCTGATCTTCAAACACCAACGCTCTGCTCCACAGGCCTGAGAGAAATAAAAATGTTCTCGATCAATAAATAAATTGAGGCTGTGCTCTCACATTCGTCAGGGATCCAAACGAGACTTGTTGTAAATAATGGAACCATTATCTTTGAGCCTATTACGAAGGTATTGGAGATACACAACATGGTAACAGCAGTGTACCAGTAAAATCAAACAGCAGCAGCAAATTCCTGATCTCTTTAAGTTTTTAATGGTTTAGAATGATCRTCTAAAACAGGGGTGGGCAAGTGGTGGCCCATGGGCCGTATGTGGCCTGTGGATGACTTTTGTTCAGCCCGCCATTGAGCCCCCACAGTTTGTTTGTGAAAAATGACGTGTCAATAAAATGAAACTTGTTTGATTTTTTGTTTTGTTTTGTTTTATTTGTTTTGTTTCGTTTTGGTTTAGTTTTTTTGGTTTGTTTAGGTTAGGTTAGAGCTTTGTTTTTGGTTTGGTTTCTTTAGTCTTTTGATTTGGTTTGGTTTGTTTAGTTTTTTGGTTTGTTTTGTTTAGTCTTTTGGTTTGCTTTGGTTTGTTTGGGTTTTTGGTTTGGTTCGTTTTTGGTTTGGTTTTAGTTTTTTGGTTTGTTTTGTTTAGTCTTTTGGTTTGCTTTGGTTTGTTTAGGTTTTTGGTTTGGTTCGTTTTTGGTTTGGTTTTAGTTTTTTGGTTTGGTTTTTGTTTTGGTTTGGTTTACTGTTTGTACAGGAATATTTTAATTTACCACCTACATCACAATTTTATATATTTTTCTAGATATTTATAGAATAGAATAGAATAGAATAGAATAGAATAGAATAGAATAGAATAGAATAGAATAGAAATTGCCTTTATTGTCCCACTGAAGGAAATCCCTGTCCTAATTAGCAGTAGCAGCTAATCAAAATATATAATTTACTGCTCTTTAAAGTGGGTGAAAAAAAATGACTATTAAGCAGAATGAAGTACAAGGTATTGTTGGTTTTGGCCCTCCAACATACCTGAAGTTTCTCRTGGCCCCAGGAAAACAAAAAAATAAAATAAAATAAAAATTGCCCACCCCTGGTCTAAAAGATTCTTAGGTGTGATGTTGTGTCCGAGCACACGCTGACTGCTCGTATCTCYGTCTCTGCAGATCATCCCCGGTGAGGTGGAGGCTCTGCTCTCTCGGCTGCCCTGCACCTTCAGACAGGAGCTGACTGGCGTCGGAGCCAGTTTGGAGAAACGTTGGAACTTCTGCGGCTTCCAGGGCATCAAGACCACTTAGTCTCTGTTCGTTGACACATCTGGGACGCGGAAGAGACGACAGGCTGCGGAGGCGCCGTAGCAATGTGAAAGATACAGTAAAAAAAATTTAAAATTAAAATAAACATAAAAGCTCACAACTATCAAAGAGCCGGGACTGTACCTGACTGTACAAGGACGCCGAGGCCTGATCTCAGATCAAGAGGGAATGTTATGTGAGCGCTTCAGGGACTCTGTGTAGGAGGCAGAAACTTAAAAAACCCATCCCCATGGTTACAAGGATGTTGATACCAAGCAGCATTGATGGAGTCCTCGGGAGCTCGATCTCTGAGTCTGCATCTGCAAAATATTTTTAGACACAATGAGTCCCTGGGAGTTGCAAAGGAGCACTGGATTCTGCCGTCACTGGATCATTACGTAGTTTTGCCCACAGGAGCGGGACGATGGGCTCTTTTGAGCCGACGCGTGCTTCTGTACGGCGTGGGCCTGCAGGGCTAATCAGGGAGGAAATACGGGGCCCGCCTGAACACTCGGACCCTGTGGACTCTTCGCCCCTCCTTCTCTTTTTGCTGTTCCTGGTTTGTAACATAGATCCAAAATGAATATATTTCTTCATTTTCTGTAAAGGCTGTCAATCGTTGCATAGAATCATTTGTTGTAATACACTGTAAATGCTTGGATAATATTTTTGATTATAAAAAAAAATGTTTGAATATAGAGAACTGTTTCTGTGTTTTTCATATGCCTGTGCACCTGCGCAGGACAAGTGAACTGCCTCTGAGTTTGTGCTCACTCTTGCTTGAAGAGCTGTATTTTTTTTTCTAAGTTTCCTTGTTCTTACAAAAGCTGCACTCGAGGCTGGCTTTCTAAYGTTACATAAGGGCATTTGTGTCTTTCAGAAGCCAATTAAGCCTGGCTGTCAGCCTGGCGAAAGGCAGAGCGTTCGCATCACACTTAATTGGGAAGCACACCTAGGGGATCATGTTAATGATGTTTAATTGGTGAGGCAGTCGGTGTGTGTGAATGAATGTGCCTCTGTGTGTGTGTGTGTTTTCTAGCACAAAGCTATAATGTGTGAACTGTTTGCCTAGATCTATATGTGAAACACAGGTTATACGAGTCTTTTAGAACGGACCGGGTTATTAACATCTATTCTTCTCTCTTTGCTTTGGGAAGCAAAGGTTTATTTATTATTATATTTTCCTCTCACTTGGACTTCTTGATTATTTTTTGGTTTGAAAGAATCTGCAGAAGGCGACTCTAATCAATGACATCTAGGCTAAAACTGATTTGTTTGGCTGAAAAGGGAAAGTTTACTCGAACTTGTTTCAATGTCTTAGACTTCTATAAGTTGAAATGGATAAATTAAAAAAAACAAATCTAAGTTTAATTAGAATTTAGATAYCTGCAAAACTTTCACTTTTAAGCCAAATATAAGGCAGTTTTAGCTCAAAAGTACAGTATGATAGATTTACACGTTACATTACATTTAAATGTCTGGAGATGTCTTAAAAACTGCTAATCAACATCTAGCTGAAGTTTAGACATCTTCTAAACTTTTGCTTGCAAACTAACAACCCATCTTTCATTTAAATGTTCTTTAGATGCAGGGCCGGCGCGTGGCATAGGCAGTATAGACGAATGCTAAGGGCGTTGCCCATCCTGGGGGTGCCCAAATTGGGAGACAAATTTTTTTTTATGTTTTAACAGAGTATAGTACATTTAGTTTGTAGAATAATACCTGGTTATTCAGGTTTATGAAGGTAACTTTTTCTGCTTTGTTTCTATGAAGTTATTTGGTGCAGAGGAAAAATACTGATTTTGTTTTATTAATCCCAAGAATTTAATAGAATGCTCCTCAAATGGCTGGAAAATGCAAACCTTTGAGTAGATCTCACCAGTTATATTATTTAGTATTTTAATTGGACAATCTGGTTTGTAAAGATAAATACTGCCTGGCCAAAAAAATAAATAAAAAATGCCCCCAAAATAGAAAGGTCACACACACTAATATTTCGTTGAACCACCTTCATTTATTTACTCCTTATTTAACCAGGCAAATCTCAGATCTCTTTTTCAAGGGAGGCCTGGGCCTGAAGGCAACCTATTGTACATGTTTTTAGGGGTGGAGGAAAACCAGAGTACCCAGAGAAAACCCACGCAAGCATAAGGAGAACATACAAACTCCACACAGAAAGACCCCAGGTCGGAACCGGGGATCGAACCCAGGACCTTCTTGCTGTGAGTTGTTGGTGCTAACCACTGAGCCGTCGTGCTGCCTTCAGCTTTGATTACGGAACACATTCGCTGTGGTAGTTTGGATAAGCTTCTGCAGTGTCACAAGATTTATTTCCATCCAGTGTTGCATTCATTTTTCACCATGATCTTGCATTGATGATGGTAGAGTCTGACCTTCTCCAGAACATCCCAAAGATTCTCAATGGACTCTGTGGAGCCAATTCATGTGTGAAAATGATGTCTCATGCTCCCTGAACCACTCTTTAACAATTCCAGCCCGATGAATCCTGGTATTGTCACCTTGGAATTTGGCCGTGSCGTCAGGGAAGAAAAAATCCATTGATGGAATAACCTGGTCATTCTGTATGTTCAGGTCAGCTGACCTCATTCTTTGAGCACATCCTGTTGTTGAACCTGGACCTGACCACCTGCAGCCACCCCACATCATAGCACTTAGTTAAATCCAGGTGGCCACTTTTTTTTTTTGGCCAGGCAGTGTACAATATCAAAGACAAAACTATTTAATTTGGTATGTGTGTAAATTACAGAGTATTGGAAAACTGCACAAGGGGGAACCATCTAAAGTCTCGCCTATGGCGCCAAATTGACTAAGGCCAGCCCTGTTTACACATCTATTGCAACTTTAAAATGTATTTAGTTTCTTCACAAAATCAAAGATTCACTGTAATTCAGAAAAAAAAAAGATTAATCTTACCACCCAACCACAAAAGTAATGGAGTTTCTAAATAATCTGCATCACTTGGTGAAGCAAAAATACCAAGACCTGGGAACTCCTAACAATAAGGAAGTCTTGCTGACAAGGTCACGGTTGACAACACTGGTCTATTAACGAGCAGGAAATGGAAAAGAACAGAGGATTTTATGGGATGTAAATCTGCCAGTCATGTAATTGTTTACAGAGTAAATCTAGTTTGTAATCTCCAGTCCGTGTCATCAGTCAGCCTCTGCCTGACATGATTATCCAGGTTTTTGTCAAGTCAGCACAAAGTGAGCGCAAAATCAGCCCGCCTCTGTTCTTAAAAGGTGTTTGTTGTGATAATGGTGTTACTGAAGGAAGAGGAAGTGTAAAACTACAATTTTTTTTTTCTTCTCGTCTTTCCTGACAGCGCAGCTCGGGTTGTGTGAGATGTTGCCAGTGTGCGCAGTTGTGCATCGCTACACTTTAACTTCATCCCCATCCACGCTGCKTGCCTCGAGCTCAGCAGAACATCCCCCCCGGTGACAAACTCCGGCGCGCCTCACGCCAACCTCTTCTCTTTTCTGACTCGCTACGTCTCTGCCCTCCCTGACACAAACAAAACACCAACACGGCGCGTTCTCGTCTTTCCGAGGCTGCTCCTCTGTCTCCAGTTTTCCTCCCAGCTGAGCTGCCGTCCCTGCGCGCCGATAGACCCGAGACGCTTGCAATTTATCTCTTTTACAGCTGTTGGTGTCTGAGCGCCAAGGCTCTGTGACGGTGCTTTAGGTTCTCGGGCATCACACGAGGAGGTAAACACAGACTAATTAAATCCGCCGACGGTTCTCCTCCCGGGTGAACGCTGCTGCCTTCTCATTACGGTGACGCAGTCAGGAGCCTCCTCATTATTTCAATTCAAGGTGTACGCAAGCAAAGGGGTCCAATTCACCTCCTCAGYGGTGATTACGCCAGAGGACGACTCATTTCTTGGGAGAGCTATAAGGGGACGTCTGCAGATGTTGAGCCTGAACAACCTGTTCCTCAAATTTAAGGGCCTGAGTAACAGAGGCTTCTTCTGATCCCCGATTAGTTGTATCATTAGACTTTGTTTGATAAACATATATTTTAACTGTAAAATAAAGACTGTAAAAATACTGTAAGATGTGTAGTTTTGTACATTATTAAAAAATATATTTTAACACAGACGGAGCCATTTTATTTACATTCAAAGCATTCTGGGTAAATGATGACGTGGGTAGGTCATTGGTGCGAGGCTGCTAGCGAGCTATATCCACCCTGAAGGTTAATCTTAAACAATATCTGATGATCGACTCTTTTAAATGAAACCAGAGAGCGTTGAC